ACTCGTCGTTCTATATCCTTATCATATCTACCATCCCTGCTAAATAAACATCCCAAATATACAAACTCATCCACTTGCTCAATCAACTCCCCTTCTATTCTTATTTTACATAAAGTTTTACTTTCTTCTCTTTCAAAAACCATCACTTTCGTCTTACTTGCGTTCACTTTCATACCCCTTTCTTTCAATGAACAATTCATTAAAGTAACCATCATTTGCAACTCGGCCGCCGACGATGCAAATATGACTTGATCATCGGCGTACAAAAGGCATTTGACGGTTGACTCACCCATTCTCAACCCACATTCTTCAACTTTCAAAGTTTGCAAACAACTGTCCATAAATAGGTTAAACAGCCACGGGGAAGCCACACATCCCTGTCTGACACCTTTATGAATGCCAAACCAGTCCGAGTAGACCCCGTTGATCCTGACACAAGCACTAGAGTCCCTATAAAGAGACCTTAATGCCTGTATCAAGCCAGCGCTCAACCCAAATGAGTTCAGTGTTTGCCATAACACGTTCCTGTCCACTCTGTCATAAGCCTTTTCCAAGTCTAAGAACGCACAAAAAACTTTCTGGTTTTTAGCCAAAAACTTCTTACTATATAAGTATGTATTATATATTATAATATAAACTATACATTTTATTTTTTTATAGGAGAGGGAGTAAACGAGCATGCGGCTCACCTGATGGTAAGTGACTACCGCCGCCCATGAACAACTGCAACACCACGGTATTTGCAGATGCGTTGCCGGCCTTTTAAAAAGGAGTGGGCTCTGCTGGTGGTAATCGATTCCACAAGGAAGTTGTGCGAAGAAGAAAACTTGTTCTAAATCGCATAGTGGTGGAACGCCAATCATCCAGATGTTTGGATGGTATCCCGAGTTTATATTTATAAGAGAGCATTATACCTAGATTATAAATATTGATTTCTAAGTTGATAATAAAAAAAATTATGCATACTTAATTACATATTATGTCGTACGCTGGCTGGTTCCAAGCATCCTCAGAGGATTTTGGAACAGGGAAGAATCCGCCGAGCCACCCCAATAATAAACGTTTACAATTTAAATTTCCCCTTACAAACTTGGTTCCGACCCGTGTGTGCGGTGTTTCAAACTCTCAAAGAAGAGAAGAAATATAGAGAATTGAAATAATAATAATAATAAACTTGTGATAGACTTTTAAACTTGTCTATAGGGGCGTCATTTTGTGTGATAAAGGGCTTACTCCTCTATCCTTAGCCAACGAGCAATGGCAAGACCCAGCAGTACAGTACATTTCCGACCGGGAGACCGTATGGAAGGAGAAGGAGCTCCACGGGAGGTTCTACAAGGCTCTTGATGAGCCTTTCGTAGACACAGCTGCCTCCCTCCATTGGCTACGTTTGGTGACCTCTTCGGGGAAACCGAGGGTTTTGTCTGTGCGATACAGGATCAGGTTATTAAGACCAACAACTATCGGAAATACATCCTAAAGGATGGCGCCGTCGACATCTGTCAAGCTTGTCGCTATCCCGGTGAATCACTTAGGCATGTCATCTCCGGTTGTTCGGCGCTTTCTAACTCTGAAAATTTGCACAGACACAACCTAGCAGCCAGGATTCTACACCAGGTGCTTGCTCTGAAATACGATCTCGTGGATCGGAAACTGCCATATTATAAGTACTTGCCGGAAGCCGTGCTTGAACACGACCGCGCCAGGCTCAACTTTGACCGGGCCATTATCACAGACAGGACTATTCTTGCGAGTAAGCCTGATATTGTGCTGATGGACCGGGCACAGTCAAGAATATTTTTGGTCGACATTACCATTCCGTATGACGAGAACCTCGTGAAAGCCGAAACAGATAAACTTTACTTTATTTATCTTCACGCACAATCCCTGACGGGGTAGCCAGAGAGAACAGATCGCCAAGTGTCACGATCCTTACATACCTCTTTCGCTTCTTTCAGATTCATTATCATCTTCATACATGCACGTCTAGGTATCCGAGTACTCTTGACCCTACCCTCTTCGAGCAATTTGCTCACATGGTCTTCGAAAGTTAGTCTTGGTCTACCTCGACACCTTTTAATATTAACTTTCGCGCTATATATTTTCTTCACCATTCGGTCTTCACTCATTCGCTCAACGTACCCAAACCACCGAAGCACGCCCTTATCAATTTTTGTGATAAGGTCATCTTTCAAACCTGCCATATTTCGAATCTCTTCGTTTCGCTTTCGGTCGGCCATGGTAACGCCGCACATTTTACGAAGAGATCGCATCTCCACTGCATTCAACTTGCTTTTATACTTCTTCTGGCATACCCAGGTTTCGCTACCATATAACAAAGTCGGTACCAACACTGCGTTATGTATTGCAAGGCGTGCACTCTTCACTACGCCTTGCCTTTTGACTAACGCAGTCAGGGCACCATTGATTTTGTTCCCGGCAGCGACACGCCTGTCCACATCTAAATCACATCTTTCATCCCGGCTAAAAGCACTCCCCAAGTTTCATTTACCTGTTCTAGAAATTCCTGATTTACCCATATTTCACACTTCGTTCTCTTTTCGTCCCTTTCAAACACCAGAACCTTAGTTTTATTAGCATTCAAACGGAGACCTTTAATTTCACATTCCTCTTTCATACAGGTGACTAATGCCTGCAGTTCTGCCTCTGATGGTGCAATAAGCACTGCATCATCAACATACAAAAGACAATTTACTACAGTATTGAATGCGAAGGGCGCTGTAAGCTCGTCGTCTGTATGATACCCACGGGCTACTCGAGTAAAATGATTGGCAAAATGCTTTGAAAAGAGTAACTTTAACGTCATACATACATCGAGCAAACCTGCGGCAAATAAAAAAAAAACATATAGCTCCTAACTGCCAGCTAATGCACGGTGGCGGACTTTTCATATCCTACAATATTTTTTAAAATTTTCCTTCACCCTCTCTTCATCGTTAGTGATATGGTAATTGAGCACTTGAAAGTTTTAATGAAGTTCGTCATTGTCACTGTTGGGTATTAAACACGGTTTTCTCGAGTATAACGAAATTTTGATTCCTAAACTACAACAGGCTCACAATTTTAAAAAAAAGCGCCTGCACAATTTTAATAGCAATTATTTTTAAAACAATTTTCAGATGTAATATTAAATCAACACTCATAATAACACAATAAAACGATTCCTTCTGTAGACTCTGTTGTATCATAAATAGAGTAGAATTATTAGAAATAGTGAAGAACTAAGAACAGAGAATGTACTATCCCACATCGTCGTAAGACTGGGAAAGTAGAAAGAAAGGTAGTACTCGTAAATGTGGTAAAAGTCTTTACCACGTACTCTACCACGTCTGAACTTAATTTTTACTTTACTTAAACGCTGCTATAATATCACCGCTGCACGGCCAGGGAAAGACTACCCACATGCATAAACACCTGCATGAAATAGCAACACAATGCTCCTATGTTTCGTTTTTTTTTTATAGCATAATGGTGACAAACGAGCACACAGTCCACCTAATGGTAAGTGGTTGCTGCGGCCCATAGACATCTACATCTATCCTCTATTACAAATCAAAATGTAGATGTGTTGTCACCCGTGAGGACTAAGATGTAATTCCTCATTTCCAAACGCAGAGGTAAACCTCAACTTCACGCTGGTTTCGTATAGTAAAATGATAAAAACAAAGAGCTTGTTCACCGTAGTTGAATTCTTGATTCGTAACATAATATGTTGAATATTTAGAATATAAATAATATAACTCTTTAACTATATGATTGCTTGGTCCCCAAGTTTGATCCCTTTTTGATTATGTAATGTAGGAAAGATGTCAATGGAGGAGAGAGTGTTGTTGGTACTAAATCTTTAATTATACTGCTCTAAATATACTGTGGGGCTACACTACAATTATATAAAAAATTCTTCACCGTATTTTGTCCCCAGGGGATTCGTAAGTGGCGTTCATAAATCGCGACCGACCGTTTAGTGGCGGTGTAAGAATTTCCACCATCCCATGTCGGCCCGCAGGCCTCTCCAAGTTTGTTTACGTTCGTCGCCCGGTCAGGAGGCGACGAAGGTAAACGCTTAAAACAACGTTATTCTGCATATATCCAAACAAAAATTAATATTCAAAAGTGAATGTATTCGGGCTAACTATAACATCGGGACGTCAAACATCTCAGTCAACCCCGTGACGACGTGGGTTGTTGTAAAGCACCCGAAACGTTCGAAAATAAAAATAAGTAAATTAAACGCGATAAAATTCGTATATACAGTTTTATTCAATGGAGCAATTAGTAGTCCGTGCTGCTACAGTGCGTGATGATCGACTTCACATATCCCCGAAATATTTTTATCATATCATTAACACTCACGCCTGTCACGAAATGAATGAAAATAAATGTAGAAAGAATGAATGAGGAAAGAGTGAGAATGCTTTTCACTTTTTTCTAGATCATTCTTTCTACATGACCAACTCACCGAAGCAATCATTTCTATATCCTTGTCACAACATGATCTGGGTACTGGCTTCATCTCATCTCTGTAAGAGGTATGGAGCAATTAGTCGTCCGTGCTGCTACAGTGCGAGTTGATCGACTTCACACGTCTCCGAAATATTTTTATTCCTCAGATATACAGGTTTTCACACGATTTTTCCTTCACCATTTAACATTTTACTTTTCGCTGGTGGGGATCGAGCCCGGGTTTATTTTTTAATACAAGCGCTTATTGCCTGAGCTACTCCAAATTCCTTTCCTATTTCAAAGAAATAGGAAACTGGAACATAACATTTGCATACAAAACCGTGATTAATCGATTGCCTCACTCAATTTACATTTGTACATTTTGTGTTTATTCTGAAATAAAAGTAAACGATTCTTTTAACTCAGTCCAGAGTCAACTTAGAATTACTACTTTTAGCTGTGTCACTAATTAAACTGTAAGAATAGTTAAAAAAAAATTGTGCTATATTTAGTATTAACGGCAATTAACAATCGGTATGGACGCCTGGTGGAAGCCTGGCATAGAAAATATAAATGGAAGGACTATCGATTGTGTGAACAGTGAGTTCTTAAGTTTTTTTTAAATATTTTAGAATTTTTTGACTGACCCGCATATTTAAACAGGCTTTTGTCTATAAGTAACTTTTTTAAATACGTGTTTCAACTAAATACACACGGTAAGGGTGTACACTTCCAACTAAAAATAGATATATATTATTTGTAGTAGATAGATAGCATAGATGAATAATTAATGTATTTAATATGTTTTAATAAAGTTTAATTTTCATACATCCAATAATTATTATGTAAAAATAAGGTATGTAATAAGGGATATTATATAGTTTCAATAATTTAAAATTTCAGTGTTAAGCTTTTTGCTATTTATTATTTAAAAAAATCGGAAGGGTCGGGAAGGGACGCCCTAGACGAAGGTTTATCCACCAAATCGGCGATACATTGAAAATGGGCCAGATTAGAAGTACCCTTAACCGACTAGCGTGTATGCGTAGATATATGGATGTAAAGGAGGCGAGAGAGGTGTGTCAGGATCGCGCCAAATGGCAGTCCGTAGTCTCTGCCTACCCCTCTGGGTGACAGGCGTGAGTGTTTATGTATGTAAAAATAAGGACTTTCAAATCTTCGCTCTATAATTTCAGATTGTCCTCAGACCTGGAGTCTTCCAGAAACAATAGCCGCTGATATTATTATTATCTGCACGTACCTCACTTTGGTCTTAAAGATATTGCCGGCACTTATGAAGAATCGGCCGCCATACAAACTAAGCAAATTGTTGATATGCTACAATGCTTTTCAAGTATTTTATTCAAGTTATCTTGTCTTTATAGTAAGTACTCATTTTTGAATTTATTTTTAAATTAAAATTCGACAAACTGTAAGTATATAAAACATTTTGTTGGCAATATTTATGCCCATACAATCTAACTATTACATAGTTTACAATTTACAAAAATACATTCAAATAAAAATTTCTGCGACGAAAGAAAATAAAATTTTGTTTGTCGAAGGTCACTTTTTTAAATCTAATTTCCTTTCAAAATGAGATTCTTCTGACCGGAAAACAACGCCAAATTAAACAGTTTATTAAACGCACTTGTAAATTCCCATGAGGCTACTTACAATTTTCCCTTAAATAACTAACTATACAGCCTCATATGTATCCATGCTACTAATAGTTAAGATAAGATAAATAAAGTTGTCGACTATTGTTTCCATATTATAATGTGGAATACGTTATAGCATGGAAAGCAATCACGTGTTAAAAATATTCAGGGTATTGAAAAAATAATGCAATATACAACTATTAGATAAGCCAAAAAGATATCACGCACTCCAATAAATTGCTACTCGTATTAAACCATCTCGTTTATGCCAAATATAATATAGCAGACTGGAGACGAGGAGCAATATCAAGGATATGAGACACTTAGTAGACCACCGTTTGAACATAAAATAGCTGCAGCGTGACTCTACCACGTATAAAACATTACCAGAGTATTTAAGGTCTACCACAGCTGGACAAGGAGCTGTCCTACTGAGAAAGGATTGAACTTGCATTTATAGACACTGTAATGTTGGAAAGTGTCAATGAGAAGGCGTGTTGTTCTTGCTATGTCTTTAATTATACTACTACACATTCTAAGCTTTAAAGTAAAGTAAAGTTGCAGCCTAATTACGTCCCACTGCTGGGCACAGGCCTCCTCTCATTTCTGAAAGGGTTTTAGGGCAAGGAAATGTTCGCCGCGCTGCCCCAATGCGTGTTGACGAACTTCACTATATATTTTTTTCTTATTTCTCAAACATGCAGGTTTTCTCACGATGTTTTCCTTCACCGCCGAGCACGTGGTAAATCAGCACTTAAAATTCCAATTAACAATTTAATTGGTGCCGGCGGGGATTGAACCCGGGTTGCTTGAGTACTGTGAAGCTTACAGCGAGCGCTAACCATCTGAGCTACCACGGCTCTAAGGTTAACACTAATATATACATACATAGTATCCTACAAGATATTTCATTCATTAAAGCGTATGAAAAGTCCACGGCTGATCAAAGGTCACATAGAATAGGCAACCGTAGGTTTTTATTACTTTATGTTAATAATATATAGATACTGCTATTCATATTTTATTTCATTTCCCTTTGTCACCACCCGCGGGATGATATGGGGTGGTCACTATGTAGTTTTATTTATAAAAATATCTCTTCATATATTTCAGTATACGCGGTATATAATAAAACACGGTATATTCCCTACGAGATGTCCCCAAGGAGATCCTTTAAAGCCGGTAAGCTATTACGAGTTATTAAAGTGGTTTTAGTATTACAAAACTAATCTTGTAATTTTTCATTCAGTTTTGATTTATATTTCCAGGTGATAAAAGACATTTTCCCATACTTTCTTGCCAAGCATGTAGATCTTTTGGATACGGTGTTCTTCGTTTTAAGGAAGAAGGAAAACCAAGTGACATTTCTTCATGTTTATCACCATAGTGTGATGGTAACATGGGCTTGGCTTTACTATGCTTATAAGCCATCGGACCATTTCGTAGTTGTTGGTTTGATTAACAGTTTCGTTCACGTACTAATGTACGCATATTATGGATTGTCGTCGCAGGGTCCACGGTTTGCTAAATTTATCTGGTGGAAAAAACATTTGACGAAGATACAACTTGTAAGTACTTACCTTCTACTTCTCTTCCTTATGAGTGCATATCAGTCATCAGATTTTCGATAATTGAATACTTGCTAAGTAGAAATTATTTTATTATTTTAGCCGACTTCAACAAACGATGTTTTTTCATGTATGACATAGTTATTTGAATTTTTTTTAATTTTTAACACTTTTGTGTCGAGTAATTAATGTCACAATCTCAATAAATTTGAAACAGACAAATTATATGAGTTGACGCCAGAAGTATAAACTACTTATTATAGAAATAATCATCTAAACAAGTTCATAATTGACGCAGAATTCGCGTAACATACATACTCACTAAAAAAGCACAAAGTTGAATTAAGAACCTCCTAGGTATTTTTTTATAGAATAAGGGTGACAAACGATCGTAGAGTCCATCTGATGGTAAGGGGTTGAATTGGCTCATAGATATCTACATCTATCCTCGATAACAAATCAAAATGTAAATGCGTTGTCACCCGTGAGGACTAAGATGGAATGCATTGCTTCAAGTAAAAAGGATCTCCGTTTCTCCACACCTACCATAAGAAACACAGCAGCGTTATGCTGCTATTTTACACTGGTATTCTGTGAGAGCATGGTTCTTTCCAAGTCGAGCCGACCCATTCGTGCTACAACTATACTACTAATATAGCTGCAGCATGGCTCTACTATCTAAAAATCTTTTAAGTATTTCTTTTAAGTCAGCTAAATATCGCACCTTTGTCGTTCCTCTACGTCACTGTCTTGGGTATTTTATACCTAATACAGATATAGCCGTATAGTAGCAGTCCACGTATATTTACTACCCCATATCATCCGGTGACTATCGTAAGAGGTGAAAGAGGAAAACTGAAACAGGAGAGCACCTACCTAGTTAACAACTTGAAATAATAAAAAACTGCGTTGGCAAGATCTGGCGTCAAGATCATCTGCCAAGCTAGGAAACTATGAAAAATATCTACCCTAAGATGTAATCTATGGGGGAGACCTATATTCATTTTCTATAACTTTTTACGAGACCCAAGGGACGTGTAAATTCTCTTTTGCACCACTTCGCGGCAGCGATCATCATGCCGGCAGCGCGTCAGTATTTAAGTCTATCAGAAATGTTAAAAAAGCCCGTAATGATCTTAAGAATTTAGCCATTCTGGAAAATTTTAACACATTTCATCTTTTCTTTTATACGTGGTAGAGCCATGTTACAGCTATATAAGAAGTAAAGTTGTAGCATGAATGGTTCGGCTCGACCGGGGAAGGACCACGCACTCACAGAATACCATAATAGTAAATGCTTGACACTGCTGTGTTTCGTATGGTGAGTGTAGAGAACCAGAGACCCATTTTGCTGGAAAAGAGGCATTCCATCCTAGTTCTCACTGGTGGCAACGCATCTGCATTTTGATTCTTTATTGGGGATAGATGTAGATGTCTATGGGTCACAGCAACCACTTGCCATCAGGTGGACTGTGTGCTGGTTTATCACCCTATCCTATAAAAAAAGGTTACCTATCTTATTTTAAAGTATTGCAAACGTTGAATGTATTGGCACGGCTTGGACAGTCTAGATCTTTAAAAAATAAAAACATAGTGAAACTTATCGAAACACGTTCGTGATTTAAAAGCTTTCGTGTTTTATGACGTTTGACTTGACACCTATCTTGGTTATTCCAAATCAAGGTGGCATATTGAGGGTTACTTTTCACAAAAGCATTATCACGACTTGAACATAATTTTTTTTTTAAATTAAATTCAAATATTTTTGAGGTGAAACTTCTTTGGTATAGTTGTGATTTGAAATTGCGATGAAACGAAAAAGCGACACTAAAAGAGACAAACATATAGATCGATATGATTTAGCCTGCGAGAGAATGAGATAGAATCCATACTAATATAACAAAGCGTAAGACGTTTTTAGTTTGCTTAAACACGTTAATCTCTGGAACTACCAGCCCGATTTGATTAAGTCTTTTCTTTTTGTATATGACAGCCAGATTTATGAAAAATAGAATAGGCTATCTATAATATTAGGCTACACCTTTCAGCTAGCCTTAAATGTTGATTTTTGTTAAGCAACTCTGAATAAAAAGCGCACATGTACTGTTTTATCCACGTGTGGTGACGTAATGGTTAGTGAAATGTAAATAGAATGTTCTACGAAAATATAGATCTTTCCTTTATCTAAAAAAAGTTTACGATACCATAGAACTATTTATTATACATAAGCCATTATTAAGGTAATTTTTACATATTTAAGGTATTTTGTCACAAAAAATATTGAAAATTAAAAAGTGATTTATGAGCTTTATTATTAGGCATGGCATATTAATTCTAATGAAAGAAATAACTTCATATTTGAGACAACTTTATGAAGATAAAGTTTGCTCTTCATAGCATGGTATTTGGACTCATAGTTTATGAGATAATGAAAAATAACAATAATTCAACACTCAGGTCAGCGCACGATCGACACCTAGCCCGGCGTCTATAAGACTTTAAGCAAGTAAGTGGCCTATAAGCGAGGTGACATGTCGCGTGGCTCACACGCGTGATATATGCGGGTTGAAGTCGCTGGACACAGCTAGTACAGTATAAAATGTGACATATAATAAAGATTTTAATATATTATTTAACTGTTAAAATATAAAAAATTACAATTTTATCAAATAAATAAAACTAATTATATTGAATATAACTATCATATCCAAATCATTCCTTATAATCCACGATTTCATATCTTACCGATTTATTGATAGTCAATCAATTTTTGTTTGATAAAATGACAACTAATAAAGTAGACGTCGCTATTGCAAATCAATTTTAGTCAAAAGAAAATATTATTCTTTAATTAATTAATACACTAAAATTTAGGCTGTACATGTCACAAAATGGGGATTGTAACAGTTATTTGCTATAAAATTTAACTTTGTAATTTGACTTCTACAGTGTGTGAACTGTATACAAACATGCTTTTTTATTTTCCGATTTCGGCGAGTAAGAGTATTATCAAAGAATGTAATAAAACTACCAATTTGCAAATAAAAAAAAATATACAAATTTAATTACATTATTTTATCGTTGAGTTTTCTGAAATAAAGTTATTTCTATAGGTTTGAATACTGATTCTGAAAAAGCATTTAACGAGTACTGCAGAGTTTTGTCACACGTTGTAGCCAGGGAATAAAACAGAAGTTTTGGAAATATTTATATGAGCATAGTATATTAAAAACGGTGTCTGGTTCTCTACACTCATTCATTCTTTTCCGTTCAGGATGACCAATGTGTGCTAGTCCCATAATAATATAGCTGCAGCGTAGCTCTACCTCGTATAAAATTATCAGTTTATAAATAATTTATTACTGTACGTATATACGATACCTAAACATCATTACAGAAAGATTAAACTATTCCGATTTGTAAAGAACATTAACGCTAATAGCGGTAAGTAGTCCGCTGTACGATCTTAATATGACTGTTTGTAGATTTTTCGTGTCCTGGAAATATTAATAATAATAACTTTTAAATATGTAGTTACGATGTGGGATTTCAGCAATCATTAAATAAATCATCATCTAATGTTTATGATTTATTTAATTAATAAGCTTATGGTCAGGGTAATAATTTACAGTTCATCAAAAATTTACTGCGGAACATGGGCCTCCCCAAGAAGTGCCACAAAGCACGGTTCTGAGCGACCTGCATCCATCGACTCCCTGCAGGTCGTCATTCTTCACTTACCGAGCATATGGGTCTGCCCTACAATCCATATAAGGAAGCTCAAGGTCACTATAACACACGGCGAGCTATTGAGAGGGCTATGCCAGGATTTTCGGTGCGTGGTTGGAATACTCCTAAATAAGATATCCGCAATAGAATAAGGCTCACCAAAATAGCCATCGGATCGGTAAGCTAAAGTGGTGCTGGACTGGCCATATAGCTCGAAAAATCGATAACCAATGGGGAAAAGAGATTCTCAAATGGCATCCTAGTACTGGTAAGCGAAGTAAGTTACCTCCATTAAATCAAATAAATTAGCACTTTAAAATGCAATTAGTAATATCTGTGTGCAATAACAGAGAGTTCTACTTCACCTCCGACCTTATCGCCTCAGCCATCTCCAAATAAATACTAGAGTTCGTTGACATTTCCTTGACGCGTATTACGAATGGCTGCATCTGCGTTTAGGTGTTAAAATCGACTGCACAGTTGATGTAAGAGACTTTATTTTATAGCTGACGATGAAGCAAACAAGTAACTTAGAACAGATTCTCTTTTCATTTTAAAGAACATTAACATTTAATTTCAGATCCAGTTTATTTTAGTCGTCTTCAACATGCATTACCAGCAGAAGTTAACGCCATGTCCGATTCCTTTCTTCTTCCACTACTTCGGCATGTTAAGCATCTGCTCATTCTTCTTCCTCTTTTTGAAATTTTATCTCAAGAGCTATGTGAAACAGTCGAAGAACATCCAGGAAACTAAAACAAACTGTAAAGATATAGAACATAACATTGCTAAAAATGATGTTAAAATAAAGTAAATAAACAGTGTGATAAGAACATTGTATTGTTTCATTTTTCAAGTATATATCGCATACATAATACCACGCTTAGTAAATGGTCTGGATAATAAATTTAGAAGTGAACTTAATGAAGTTAACATAAAGTATAAATTAAAATGTTATTTCCTTAACAAATATTAATTGTTATCCCCATTTTTGTAAATGTAGAAGGAACGGCACGCAACACAAACCTGCGTGGTTTTTCGCTGTGCCGCATAGCAATATTGTAACAATTTTTATCTAATAATAAATTAAAAAAAAGTGACAGACAAACTTACAGTCCATCAGATGACTCTCTATACTCTTCAGACCGCACTGCTATTTGGCGGCAGTAATAAGAAAGATGGTGGTCTCTAACCATACGGACTCCTACGTTCGTAGGCATAAAACCAGTCCTACCACCGGTAGTAGCGCAGGAGTCAAGCGCTCCGAGTAAACCCACATCGATATTTGCCTTCACCAATGCAATTGTTAATTGCAATTTTAAGTAAAACAAAATGTTTATTTAAGTTTAATTTAATATTAATATTTAATATTAAATTAAATTTAAAAATTAGCTATTTTATTACGTGCTCGGCGATGAAGGTAAAATTTTTAAGGAGCGGATGTCTGATAAATTAGAAAATAATATACAGAAGAGTTGTGCAAACCGGTAACCGGAATTCGTAAGAAGAAAATAGTTAAAGTAGAAAATAAGCTCTTATAATTGTTAATAACGAATATTGATTTTTATTTTCAATGGCTTAGAGCCAGGTTTCCGGTGTACACCAGAAATGCATATGAGAAAAAAAAAACAAGAATTATTTAAAGGTACAATTGGCGGCCTAATCACTTAGGAGTGATCTCTACCAGACAATCATTGCAGAGGATACAAGGACCAGTGAGAAAGGATACTTACATATAATTATATAATCAATAAATACATACATACTACCTATATAATAAATAAATACATTTTAAATACAAAAATATAGACCTACATAGACGAGAGCAGAAAAAATTAAACGAGTAAGTGAAGTCAAAGCCTTAACGAAAGGAAAAATGAGTAGGTAGTAATTTTTTAGAGGAATGACTATTTAAGGAGGAAAGAAGTGCAATTTGACAAGATTTTTAAACTTTTCAATGGACTGCGCACTTCTAATGTGCAGCGGTAGGGAGTTCCAGAGCCTAACAGCTTCAATAGAAAAGGATTTAGAATAGAAGCAAGTGTTATGAGATGAGATGATGTGAATTTCTAGGGTGAGGTTTTATCAGAGCGAAGAGAACGACAGTGAGTGTCACCAAGAAACTCAAACCGCTCTTTAAGGTAAGTAGGGGAAGTGGGATTGAATAGAATACAGTATACGAGAAAGAATGTGATAATTCCTGCGAAGACGGATCGGAAGCCACTTGAGTTTTTGCGATACTTTAGTCTGTTTTGGGAAGGTCCTTTGGGCAAGTTTAAATTGCTTAAAAATTTAATTTTGTCAATTGGTGAATCCAGTCCTGCGAGTCTGGCAGAGCGTTTGTGGTTATTACTTTACTGCGCAGCATATAACATTTGTAAAAAAAATCCAAAAATCATCTTTTAATTTAGTTTTTTTTTTATTTCCACAAAAATAATCCCAGACGTTTTTGTCGGTTATAAAGTATTACCAGACCTCCCCAAAAATATTTTTTTTAAATTCCCAAAAAATATACTTTTGGCAATCTCAAATTTTAATCACGTATTTATTGAGTAATTTTTAATAATACCTGCTGAACGCCAGACAAATTTAGAGGTTTTAAACAATTCCCAGACGTGAATAAAGTTTACAAAATACGACTAAATGGTCTTATGCGTAGCCATGAGTGCGAGAAAGATAGCTTATCGAAGCATGCCGACAGTGGATGGGGGCCTAAGCTCCTCGAGCTGTGAATGGTTACTAAGAAATATCTTTTTTAAAGATTTCAAGATTAAATTATTGTTTTGGGATATAGCATGTATGTATGTGCATGTATGACCATGTAAATATCTGTGTATATAGTAAGAATTATTTTAGATCAGTGCTGTAATAATTTGTAAAATAGCTATTAATTTTAACGTCGTATTAATAGTAACCTTGGCAAAAATATGTTTTGATAATTACCATGGGGTGGTAATTATCAAAACGTTCTTAAAAAGGGACAATATCTATAAAGTGCTTACCGCCCAGAAATGAAGGTGGAAAAAATAACAATTTGCACTTTCTCTACAGCCGTAACTTTTCCACAGTAATGTGGTACAGATATAGATGAATTTTGATTTACCTAAATGTAGTTTTATTATGTTCTTTTTATAAGACATCGGACAGTACTTGCATAAGTAGATATTTTTAAACTGTGCTTCAAATATCACACTAGACCGATAGCTATGAAATAAGTAAAATTAAAGATCTAGACACATACTTTTATTATCAATTACAAAGACTAAACAAAATCACATTACTCTTATCACCAAATAGTGTAAAAAGCTAAAACGGGGTAATTGACTGTCAAATTGAACTGAAACCTCATAAATTATAATATTTGAGTAAAACGACTCCATGCCATAAAATCTGGAACCAGACAGTGAATCTTCAGAGAGTAGTGACGAAGAGAAGGAAAACTAATAAAATGATAAATCACTATAAATTTCCTTTTTTTTTTTATAAAATTTAATGTTATAATTTAAACAAAATTATTAAAGCTAAGTGTAGTGGCGGTTAAGAATATCCACTACCCCATATCTTCCCGTGGGTGTCGTAAAAGGCGACAAAGGGAAACAGGCAAGAGATGGGCAGCAGCATCTTCCTGATAACAGCAAAAGTACAATAAAAAAAAACTGCGACTGCCAACCTGCTCGCCAAGCATGGCAACTATGGCAAACACCCCCCAATGATGAGAGCAAGAAAGAGACGGCCCCCAGTCCCCGGCGGCCCCGCTATTCTTGGCTACGGTGGCGACCATGGTAACGGCGGGACAGGGGGTGCTAAGAATCTCCGGTGGAGATTCGGTTGCCACCTAAGATGACTCGACCTAGCAACATACAACGTGTGGGTTATGCTAGCGTGGTAGTTCGGCGAGAGCTATATGTATTAACGCCTTGCCACCAAACCTAACTGTAGTATTCAATACTCGTGCGTTATATATTTAAATGACAGAATACTAATATAGGATAGAATAAAGAATTATATGACTCCGAATGAAGTAATGTTATTCGAGATAAAAAATACCTTTTACTGACAAAAATTTACAAGAATGAAATTAACTTCGCGTACAAGATTAGTTCATCGAGGTGAGAGGGGCGCGCGTGTTGTTCCTGAGCTAGCTGCCGGCGGAATGCACGGTGGTCCGGCCCGCGCTCTGACGAAGGCGCGGTGCGTCGCATATCTAGGTCTCTCCATTGTTTCGCTGCGGTGGCGTGATGTTCGAGCGTGGCTCAAACTTCATAAGCGTAGCGGATTTATGTTGGGTCCAACAGAAGCGAGTTACGCCACCTGGCCAGACCGTAACTACGGTCGATAGTAGTCAGTAAATCTCACTCTTCGGCCACTCCGCGTGATTTTCTCCATGTTGACAATAGGTTCCGTAGGGACTTTGGGTTCCGGGTCTTGCATTTCTTTGGTCATGTACGCTGGTTTTAGTCTGTTGACAGAGACGTTGTTTTTCTTTCGTCTTATGTCTATAGTGTAGTACTTGGCTTGTTTGTCTAGTACTTTGAAGGGTCCGTCGTAGGGTGGTTCGAGTAAGCTTCGAACGTGATCTCGGCGAAGAAAAACATGAGAGGATGTGTGGAGGTCCCTTGGTATGTGCTAATGGCGTCGTCGTGCTGGTGTGCCATGATGTCTGCTTGGGAGTGAGTTTGGCCATGCAGGATCGTAGACGTGTTACGTACTCTGTGACGTCTGCCGTGGTGTAGTCGTCTATTGGAGATAGGTATTGGCCTGGTAGGCTGAGAGTTTGACCATATACCAATTCGGCAGGAGTAGCTTGGAGATCTTCTTTGCATGAGTTGCGCATGCCCAAGAGAACCAATGGAAGGGCTTCCGTCCACTGCGATGATGTGTGGCACATGATCGCCGCCTTGAGTTGACGCTGAAATCGTTCGATGATGCCATTTTCAGCTGGGTGATAGGCGTTTGTGCGCAAGTGGCGCACACCAACCAACTTGGTGAGAGCTTTGAAGAGATGGCTCTCGAATTGGCGACCACGGTCTGTAGTTACCAGTGCAGGACAGCCGAATCGGGCTATCTAGCTGGACACCAGAGCAGCTGCGCAGGTCTCCGCCGTGACGTTCACCATGGGGTATGCCTCAGGCCATCGTGTGAAACGGTCGATGACGGTAAGGTAATATCTGTAACCAGAAGACAGAATCAAGGGCCCTACGATGTCGAGGTTTTGGCATGACAAGCATTGTCGAGACCACTCTCTACAATCTTTACGTATCCCTGGCCATACGTATCTTTGTGAGACCAATCGCACAGTAGCTAAACTTCTAGGATGGTGAAAGCTGTGTATTGTATCAAAAACTTGTTTTCTGAACTGGGGAGTAACATAAGGACGTGACGGTTGCACAGAAGTGTCGCAGTAGAGAGGTAAGTTACCATTCATAGTATTGATTCTTTTCAGTTGCAGAGTAGAGCCATGAAGGAGTAGATTTTGCAGTTCTGGATCTTTGTCCTGGGCTCGTGCAAGATCGTCGTAGTCCACAGCTGTAATGATTTACTCGACTCTAGAAAGTGCGTCAGCAACTAGGTTTTCCTTACCAGGTAAGTATTTCAGGTCCGTCGTAAACTGAGTAATGTAGTCAAGGTGTCCGAACTGTCTTGTAGTGCATTGGTCTTTGCTCTTTGAGAAGGCGAAGATAAGAGGCTTATGGTCGGTGAATATTGTAAATATTCTGGCTTCGACCATATGTCGGAAGTATTTGATGGCTTCGTAGACAGCTAGTAGTTCTCGGGGCTAGGGGCTGTACTTCCGATGTGCGTTGCTGAGCTTAT